CCGACCTGAGAGTACACATCCTCCGGCGTCTGCGCCACTCCGGGGGGCGTCATGCGCTTCTCCTTCTGCCTCCTATTGCAAAACCACACCCGGACCACCTCCTTCTCCAGCTGCAGGTTGTCCGCCAGGCTGCTGATCTCCTGCGCCGACGGCTTGGGGCACTTCAGGAAGTGGCTCTCCAGCGCGCCCTTGACGCTCACCTCGATGGACGTGCGCTTCTTGCGCTTGCGCCCCTGCGCCGCGATCTTGTCGATGCTCGTGGGGCTCCCCGTGGACGAGTCGGCCTCCTCCAGCCACTTGTTCAGCAGCGGCTTGAGCTTGCACATGTTCTTGAAGCTGAGCTGCAGCGCCTCGAACCTGCAGATGGTGGTCTGCGAGAACACGTTGCCGTAGAGCGTGCCCAGCGCGAGGCCCACGTCCGCCTGCGTGAAGCCCAGCTTGATGCGCCGCTGCTTGAACTGCTTGGCGAACTGCTCCAGGTCGTCCGACGTGGGCGTGTCGTCGTCCGAGTGCGCGTCGTGGCTGCTCACGCCGTGGTGCGGGTGGTGCGCGTGCTGGTGGTGGTGGTGGTGGTGGTGGCCGCCGTGCTCCAAGTCCGGCGTGTCCCCGCGCACCAGCCCCGGGTGCACCAAGCTCTGGCTGCCGGGGCTCAGCATCCCGTTCACAGTGAACCCCCCCGGCTGGGCGTAGATGAGTGACTGCTGCTGCTGCTGCTGCTGCTGCCCCCCCGAGATGGAGTTGATGTGCGCCGCCGTGCTGCTCCCCCAAGCGCCGGCGTGCGTGTGGTGCGGCGCTAGGTGCGGGGGCCGGTGGTGCAGCGCGGTGCCCGTGTGCAGATCGTCCCTGGCGGAGCTCTTTACGTCCTGCTGCTGGGGGCTGCCCGTCATCCCCACCGGGCTGGACGACCAGGGGGAGGCGGCCTCCGCGGCCGCCACCGCCGCTGCAGCCGCGGCCGCCGCGGCGTGCGGGAGCGACGTGACCCACTGGTGCGCGTGGCTCAGCATGTGCCCCCCGTTGCTGGCCGCCATCGCGCCTTGCATAAAGTCACTCTGCACCATCTTGACTGAGGGGTCTCCCCTGTAGCCCCCAGACCCGGAGGTAACCGCAGCGCTGCCCGGCTGCATGCCGCCACCCCCGGAGTCAGCGTGCACGATGGATCCGGACGAGAGGATGCTATTGGTGGGGAGATAAGGATTGGAAGCGGCGGTGGCCATTCCGTCAACCCTTATGAATATGTTTGTGTTTGACCCCCCCACTCCCCTCCCCTTCTTTCTCTTTTTTTCTTCTTCTTTCCTTTTTACAGTCACTTCTTTGGAGCAGGCAAATAGTGTCTCATGAATTATTCAAACTTAAAAAAAAAAAAAAAAAAACAGCTGTGCGTAAAGACAAAAAAAAAAAAAAAAAAAAAAAAAGGGTGAATCCGCGCGTGTTTACAGCATTCTGCGTCGGGGAAATAAAACTCCAGCCCGGTCCCCGAACAAACCCAAAATAAAAAAATAAAACAAGTGAAGCCCTTTGAAAACCATGCACAAGTCCAGAAAGTTTAGTGCTGGGGCGGGGGGCTCGAATTGAAAAGAAGTCCCAAACAAAGTTTGTGTGCGCGCAAAAACCAGGAGGAAACAGCCGCGCTCTCCCAGAGTCCGTCCCCTCTGGATGAGGGGAGAGAGTCCCTCTCTTCTTTTGTGATTCAGTCGCAGAGATTTGTCTCCCTCCGCTTTTATTCTTCTCTCCCTCTTCTTCCTCTCTCCTTTTCCCCCCCTCTTCCTCCTCTGAGCCTGTCTCTTTGTTCTGTTTTGATGTGTAGAAAACCTGCCAAGCCGCAAACTCCCGTTCAACAACACATCCAGTGGAAACAGTGCGCGGCGCTGCGTGCGAGCCTCCTCTCATTCGCTGCCTCTCCTCTTTCTCTCTCTCTTTCTATATCTCTCCCCCCCCCTCCCCGCTCCCCTCCTTCTATCCTGCTCTGACATGCCGACTGGCCCCGCCCCCCTCCACCCTGTCACGGACGCGGTGTTTACCCCGCGTGCGTGCCCGTTGATTGGTTACCCGGGGCGTGATTGGCAGGTCTCCGCCGCTCGGCGCGCGAACCCTCCCTCCGGCTGTTCCGATTGGCTGCTTTTTAATTGCGGGTCCAAACAAAACGGGGTGAGCACTTTTGGTACAGAGATACACAAACAGGGAGGAAGAAGTCAATAAAATATGCCCCCCCCCCCCCCCCATCCACGCTTTTCAAGGTTCTTTACTGTCATTTGCATCACATGTGGTACATGAGGTGGAACGAAATTGTGTACTCAAGGTTCCAGTTGCACCCCAAAAATAGCAAAAATATAAAGTATAAACAGAAACAAGGATTTAATATATATGCACTAATAATGGAAAATAATATCATATATTAAACAGCAGCCCGAACATGAGTCTGCTGTGAGTAGATGGGGATGAATAGCGGTTTACGGGTAAGAAATCAGCAGCACAGTTAAGGTGACGTATCACCAGTTAAAGTGGCATTATAGTGATTTTTCTGGTGAGGGGGTTTAAAATCAAATGATAAATAACAAAATCGATAAAAATGGATCAAATCGATATACGATAAAACCGTTCAAATCGATAAACGATCAAATCGACAAATGATAAAGCCCATAATCAAATCGATAAACAATAAAATCGATAAATGATAAACCCGATAAAATCGATGAAATCGACAAAAACGATCAAATTGATAAATGATCAATCCACTAAACAATACAATCGATAAATGTTAAACCGAATAAAATCGATCAAATCGATAAACGATAAAATCGATAAACAATAAAATCGATCATTGTTAAACCCAATAAAACCGATCAAATCGATAAACAATAAAACTGATAAATGATAAAATCGATAAACGATAAAATCAACAAACGATAAAATCGATAAATGATTAAATTGATAAACGATGAAATCAAACTAAAGTTTGGTTAAACCCCCCCCAGGGAATTAAAGCTTATTCAAAAGATTTATTGGCTGTTATCAGTTAATCAAACTCACTTGTTATTAAAAGACTTATGATATGACGTCATGGGACAGTCTGGACATGTCCTCTGGGACAAAACTGGGCTGGACACGTCCCCCGACGACCCCGCACAGCCCCAGAAATAAGACAACCTCCTCTTCCACCTGACTCAAACATGCACGTCAGGTGTTAAACCCCTTCCCTCCCCCACAAACATCACCTTGGAATCCCTGAAAAGATGACGTAGTCTTCCAGATGGGGATTTAAGGGCAAATATATGAGCCACAAAGACCCCCCCCCTCCCCCAACTCATCCCTGAAGATTTCATTTGGACCCGAACCAAAAAAAAAAAAAGGAAAGAGGGGAACCTCGTGGATTTGTTTACACTGAAAATCATCCAAGCTCTTAAAAATAAAGGGGGGGGGGGGTCATACACAGAGCATGAAAGGCGAGTCAAACACACCTCTCTGATATATGTTTATTATTTATTTACTTCCTATTATAAAAAAAGGGGGAGGGGGGGGTTTCATTTATTTTATATGCAAAGAGATGGGGGTTAAAAAAAAAAAAAAAAAAAGGACAAAAAAAAAGTGGGGGGGGGGTGGGGGGGGAGGAAGAGGGAGAAAAAAAAATCATCCCCAAGTATAACAAGAGACGAACAGTTAGTGCTGATTTTCATTTGCATAAATTTTCATACATTTTAGTGAAAATAATAGCGCGAGGCGAGGAGGGCTCGTGCTCAGTCGAGGCGGAGGACAGAAAATCTTAGGGCGCACCGAGTCGGAGGGGAAGGAGATATTCGTCCAGAGGCGACCGTGGGGGGGACAAAGTGACGCGATTTGCACCTTTTTTTCCTCCTCTGGACACCAGGTAAGCGCGTCCCTGTGGATTTCTGCGCGTTTTTACGCACGAGGCGCGACGCTTCATCGCCAATTCCTTGTTTTTTTTTGTTTTTTTCTTGTTTACGCATTGCTCCACTAAAACACACGCTCGTTCCCGCACAGATGCGCGTCCATCCTAAGTTAGATTTGAGGCAGAATTGGACGTCATTTATCCATTAAAAAAAAATAAATTAATATTATTATTTTTGTTGGAGATCAATATGAGAATTCCTTTTCTGTCTTTTAGCAGCTGTTTGGCGCTGAATGTCCAGCAGAGAAAAGTGCAATCAATCACATTTTAAGCTTGGAGAAAAAAAAAAAAAAAAAAAAAAAGGGGGGGGGGGGGGGGGGGGGGTGTGCGTGGAATCGTCCTGCAGCTCAGCAGCAGTCATGTGAAATGAATTGAAGCGGATCGATGACAAATATGATCGTTTTTTCTTTATATATATATATATATATATATTTGAGTTTTGCACCTCAGCCCCGAAGCTCTCCATCTAATGTGCGCAACTTTTCAGCACAAGTCGCCCTTCTCTGAGCTAACACTGAGTTCTACCACTCACCCGCACCCCCCCCCCCCCCCCCATCTTTTTTTTTTTTCTTATTTTCTCACGGCTTAACTTCTTCTCCTCCATTGATGGGGGGGCGCATTGCTCTGCCCTGCAGCCCGTAGCCATGGTGAGCCCCATAAAGGAAGGGGAACACTGGCCGCATTAAGCTGTATGTTTGTGCACTGGCTGATAAAAAGAAGGGCTCGGTGTTCCCTGGGCCAGCAGCAGCAGCACCGGTGCTGGACCCGGCGCGCCATTACTCCACAACCATTTGGTGAAACTTTAATGGAGCAAAACAAACAAACAAACAAACAAAAAAGTGGCGATTTTGCACCTTTTCCGGACACTAAAAGCAAATATTAAACTAAAAACCTGTGCCAAACTGTCTTATGGGTTGAGCTCATCCAGTTAACGTCATCCATCTGCGTGAAAACCCCACACGCACGCGTTTTCCGCGCATGGAAACGCGTTCAGTCAATCGCGAGCGCCGCCAGGTGTCGCGCTCAATCGTCAGCCCAACGAACAGAGCTCGCAACGCACAGAAATGTGTCCCATCTTTTGCCATATTTACACCTCTTGAATCCCTTATGATTATAAGCCGAATTGTTGCTCTTGCATGAAAAAAGCCAGACACACAAAAAAAAGCTTTGTTTTGCGCCGGCGCTGCTGTTTAATGCGTCAGCTTTGTAAAAACGCGCAGAATTCCTACGCAGATCCGCACCGACACTATAAGCGTTTAAAGTTACTGCAACGCCAAAAGCAGTGCCCTTCTTTTGCCACTTTCACATCTCTTGGTTCACACCATTTGCTCGCCGAATTATGCCTCATTTAAAGACAAATTCAAGCAGCAACGAGCTGCTCTTGTTTTGCACCAGCTCTGCTTCGAATGGCTGCACTTCTGCAAAAATGCGCAGAATTCCTATGTAGTTCTGTGGCGCATGCACTTTTGAGGGCCTGAATCTAATTTGACATTTGCAAACACACATTTACAAAATAAACTTTCACACCTAGGAGGATTTTAGGTGTTAAGCACAAATACTCTGACTCTGACTCTGACTCTGAAATAAATGATTTTACTTCATGTTGGATGCCATTTCTCTAAAGAAATCTATTGATTTTGGCCAAAAAAAGGCCTAAATTTAGGCCCATGCAGGTCTTTGTGGAAACATATGATGAGTTTCAGCTAAAGGACTAAGAAATCATGAATCATCCAGGGAATTAGTGCATTGCATTTCTCCCCTGCATGCTGTTGGGGGGTGTTTAGCTCTATGCAGCCGTGGTTATGGGTAGCAGGAGGCCATTTATACCTTGCTCCAAATCCTCAGCAGCAGAATCCATCACTTATAAGTGAGTGATAACAGGACAGTTAAACTGCTCGTCACCTACAGTGATCAGCAGACAAAAAAAAAGACAAGAAAAGAGAGGAAAAAAAAAACAGGAAAAATCAATTAATCTATTGTCTCTCCTCTCATAAAAAGGCTGATTTTCCACCCGCCGACATAAATTCCAGCCACTTCTGTCAGCCTCAGAAGTGGAGCTGCCACATATTCAGATTAAATTGACGCAATTCCTGCCGCTTTTTAATTATAGCACACTTAAAGTCGCCTGTGGGCAACATAATTTATTTGCTTCCCCTCGGTCCAGCTGCTAATCCGACACAGGTAGAGCGTGTTGGGCCAAACGCTGATTTAAAGCCGAAGTCGGAGCACTTAAATGATAATGTATACCGTTAATTAAATGGGGCTGCATTGGATATCCGAGCAGGCTTGAAGCGTGCCTTCAGTTTCAGACAAGAACAGGAGGTTTCTCTCTCTCTCTCTCTCTCAGCTC